GTGTGTGTGTGTGTGTGTGTGTGTGTGTGTGTGTGTGTGTGTTAAGGGGAACTGCTCTACCAATTGCCCAGTTTATACTAGGCAGAATCACTTGGCTATGTGTGGGGTTCTAAGTCTATCTGAGTAGGGCTGCCCTTGTTCATGTCAGTCTCAGGCTCTTGCATCCTCAGCTCTGTTGGAGCCACTTCTCTTGGGGTGGGGGATGGAGCATAATTGGGGTCTGCAATGCATAGGGGAGGGGAGGGTGCCTCTCTTGGGACCCCTGGGAATCATGGGGATAACAAGGGCAGCTGGGATGAAACATGAGGGATGCAGAGTGGGTGGTGATGAGGGGTATGCAGGGGGAGAAGGAAGCCTGCAGTGCACAGTGGCGGCTGCACTGGAGTATTGAGGCTGCAGTGTGCAGAGTCAGCATGCAGTAAGTGAACCTGTGGGTTCAGCCTGGGCTTGCAGTGGACACGCAACAGTGGCAGTGTGGGGTGGGAGGCTGCATCGTGCAGAGTCAGGGCAGTGTGCAGTGCGATGTGCATCGAGGCTGGCTGGTTGCCAGTCAATGCCACGTCCTCGGTGATCATGTTTGGCTGAAACCCGAGGGAGCAAGGCTGTGATGTGCAGTGCTTAGGGTGCATGCTCTACCCCGTATGGACATAGTCTCTTGGGATTGAGCTGCCCAAGGAGTTGAGATAGAAGCCCTATGCATGGGATACATTTATGAGATGGGCTACATTTATACTCTGCATCCATCAGGCAGAACAAGGAGGCCATGGGGAAGTCTAGCACTAATCTGGATTAGGACAGGGTGACAGAGTCCAGAGCGGGAACACAAAAGTGCTATGGTTTTGTCTCCCATTCTGGCTTCCTCCACGTTTCTCTGACGAAAGGCCCTAAAGATATTTGGTAAGGGAGACTTTTTGAAATCCTAGACCCAAGGCCATAGAAAATGAAGTGCCTCCTGATCTACCTCCCCACCCCCCCGCCAGGGGCAGAGTGGGGCACCTTGAACTCAAAGGTAAGAGTTTACCATTCCCATCTTTTCCTTACCTCTCTTCCGTGGCTCCCAATATGGGCTGGTAATAGACGTGGGCAAGGGCAAAGTGAAGGGCACATGGCCTCCAAAGCAGGCATCCCGCCAGATGCGGGGATCCAGCCTAGGTCTGGGCTTATAGCCCCTGCCTGGTGTTGCATCAGCCCCCTTTCCACCCCACTCATCCTGCCTACCCCCATTTCTTGAAGCTTCTAGCTTCTCTCAGAGTCATTTCAGCCCCAGCTTCTGTCGTCTCTTTGCCAGAAAACCCCCACTCAGGCTGTTTCTTCCCATCCCCCCCACCTCTGCTTCAGGGCTGAATCCCAGAGGAGAGCAGGGGGGGTGGGGCACAAGTAAGGATGGATAGAGACCCTCCAAGGGGATCTGCCTGATGGCCCCCTCCCTCTCAGATTTTGGTTGCCAAGGAGGCAGCAGGAACAGCCTGTTCTCTGGGCTCCCATCGGAGCAGCTATGCCTGGGCCCCGCCCTCTCTCCCTTCCTCCTTCCTTCCCTCCCAGACTGTTGCTAGGAAGCACCCCAAGATTTCTCAGGGTCCCATCCCTAGAAACCTGGGGATCCAGATATCTTTCTGAAGAGCTTCCCCAAAAGCCTGGAAGCCAAGACCCCACACAGCATCCTCCACCCCTGCCAAGAAGCCACAAACAGTTGGGGTGGGGGGAGGGGGGGCGGTGAGGGTGGAAACAGGGGACAGGCCCTCTACCAGCCTGCCCTGGAACACCTCTGTGGCCTGGGCCTCAGTAATCCCACCCCTCCCCCCTCTGGAGTTCCTGGGCTCTGGGTGATGTCAGCAAGTGATGAGGTGTCCAGCAGATACCCCAGATACTCTGCAGACACAGCCCCACTTATTGGGGAGTTCTGGAAGGACAGCAGGGGAAACCAGCTAAGAGAACCTAATCCTCAGGTGTTTCTCCCCCTTAGTGATCTTTCAATCAAGAAAAGGTAGTAGAAATGGAGAAAAGAAAGGGGGGCACAGTTTATGGGAGTTGGGGATCAGGTGGCTGGCAGAGATGAGAGACTGGGAAATTCACCAACAATTGACCTGCTAAGGGTAAAGGGTCCACTTAATGTCCACCTCCCAATCATCTTTGTCCCATCAGGTGCCCTGGGTATGGGTCACAAAGCAGAGGGCCTGGGAAGGGACTCAGGCCTGGCTGAGCCTTGCTCTTGGTAGCTGAGGGAAGAAGTGGAAAAAGAAGCTGACACCTTCTCCGGGTTGCCTTTTAGGGGTTCTTCTACTTTTATTCATTCTTTTGATACTTTTTTTTTTTAAAGCATTTAATATGTGCCAGATATTGGACCCCCTAAATTTTCCAGCTTTTGGTTTCATACTCTTGCATAGAGCCCCCTCATCCTGCCTTTGCCAGGAGAGAGGGGAGGAGAGCTAGGGGCACGGTGTCCTTTACCATAGAGTTTGAACCTTACCATACTGCAGCCCTCCCCCCTCCAGTGAAAGGAGATGGGACAAGCTGGTGTGGAGGCCAAGAGTATAGAGTGGTTCTCAGGGCCTGGAGGGAGGGGTGGTGCAAAGGAAATGGCAGGCTGGCTTCCTTTCCCATTATTGCCCGGGCCTCAGGATCACGGGACGTCTCTTCTGTGAGCTGGGAGTAGAGAGAGTAGAGAGGGAAGGCATCCTTCAGGGTGTTGGAGAGGAAACTTCAGGTCCAGAGAGGAAAACTCCAATGATTAGTTCAAATTCTGCTTTTCATCTTCCCAGCTGGTCTCTCTCTGGACCTCCGTGCGGCAGTGGGAAGGCAGACACAGGGAACTGTGGGAGATCCAGGAACTGTCCTGAGGTGGGTCCACCTTGTAGGCTTCTCCCCCCCTCCTTCTCTCCCCCAGAGAGATAGAAAGTGGGGATTTGGATGTGGGACTGGTCGGGGAAGGGAACTGGTTTGGAACCAGCTGTGTATGAGTGTGTGGGAACAAGTCTTTCTTTCTCCGTGCACCTGCTGCCAGTTAACTCCCCAGAGTGGGGGGACCCAGGCAAGCTTCTAAACAAAATATTCCAGCTAGGGGAGGCGAATGACTCAGTTTCCCTGTGGAGAGAAGGGATGCTGAAACCCTTTGTGCCTTGTACGCTTACCAAGTATTTCAATGTTTCTGGGTCTAGACTCTTGCCACTTTTCCTTACACTTCTTTCTAGCCTAGATAAGGAATGTCCCCATCCCTTTGGGTACCACAAAGCCCTATTCCCCTACGGCCTCTTACCCAGCTCCAAGCCCCCCACTCTGGCCTACCAGCTCCCTCTCTGCCATGGCTCCAACATTGCCATGTCATTCCACCTGGGTGGCTTCCATCCGCCTCATTTTGCCGGGCGGACCCCTCCCCCGCCAGACTGGCCAACAAGATGAAGAAGTTGGGGCTTGGAACCAAGGGAGCAGAGGTGGGAGCTCAGCTTTTATCAGCGCTGAGGGGGAAGAAATTGACAGCAAAAGAAAGTGGGGCTAAGAAGGGTTTTTGAGAGGGGCTGTGTGGAGGGAGGGTTTCCTTTCCAGAGGGGATGTTGGTATCTCTTCTCTTACCCACAGGAGGCTTTTCAGAGAGTCCCATCCTTGGGGAGAGAGGATCCAGCCAGGGAGCAGGTGGGTCCTAGGAAGCTAATGTGGTGTGGAGGGAAGAGGTGGTGTATGGAAAGGCTCTCTCTGATATTGACAGACCAGAGAGGCAGGACAGTCAAAGTAGAGAAATTGAAGATGGCCCATGTCCAGAGCTAAGGGAGTCCTCACAGTCCCTTAGGAGTCCAGTCCTTGGGGGAACTCTGCCAAACCTAGAAAAGGAGCTGCTGGTGAGAGGTGGGGGGACAGGGAAGGCAGATGGCCTGACTACAAAAGCTGCCTCCCTGCCACTGTGAAGTGGGAAGGAGGCACCCCTCCATCCCCCAGAGATCTGCCAGGCTTCCTGCCAGAGAGGGATGGTTTAAGCTCAGAATATCATTATCCTCAGGGCCCAGATATTCTCCCAAACGTACCCAACACCCACTAACTCAGTCAGGAGCAGTCACAAAGTTGACAGCTTCTCTCTAAGAGGGGCAGTTTGGGCTCTGAGGGTTGGGAAAGGAGCTATAGGATCCAGGAGTGGCTCAAGGTGGGGGGCCCTGGGCTGCTGTAACCAGAAAGGAATGAGCGGAGGGAGCAGGCAAAGGTAGAGTTGGGGCCTGGAGAAGAAGGGAGGCCAGGTTCATGTGAGGCTTCAGAGGAGCAGAGTTTGTGGTCGTCTCAAATGTGAGTGACTGTGGGGTTTGTGGTAGTCTCAAGTGGGGCCGGGGGCAGTTTGGAAGTTAAGCGTGAGGAGTCTGGGTTCTCCCTCCTTCCTGCTTTGGAAGCTTTGGCTCCACATATTTGGCAGCTGTTTTGCAGAAATGCTATTTCCCAGTGGTGTCACTTGGGTAGGCACAAAGGGGAGCAGAATGGAGGTGGTGTGTATGGGTGCACGGGCAGGGAGAAAGGCCAGAGGCAGTAATGACCTTAGAGGACTGTGATCTGGCCCTCCTTCAGCTGCACTCTACCCCTCAGAACAGGGGTCCTTGTCTCCCTGTTGTGATTTTGCTCCCATACCCAGGATCCTGTTATTCTCTGCCCCAAGGGCCAACAAGTTTACTTCCAGAGCCTGAGCGCACTGCGCTCCCAGATTCATCCCCCTAATGACTGATTTTGCCAGTGAAAGGGTGGCCAAATAATGGTTGCTGGGGAATATGGATGGAACTTGGCCTCATGGACTGGGATATCAGACTTAGGGTACGGGATGGGGGGCTGAAAGTAGCGGGTGGCAGAACACTGGCTGGGGCCTCCATGTTTACTCTTGTCCTAGGTTGTAGATGTTAGGGATGATCTGTCCCCAGGACAGGGCAGGGATAAGGGCTGTATGTAGAGAAGGCTCAGACAGTGAAGCCAGAGGTGAATAGCATTTGCTTCCCCTGAGCTTCTCACTGGAGGGGGAAAAGAGAGCTAATGTCTAAAGCCCTGAATATAATTATGCATGATTTGGTTCCACAGGATAAGCAAGACATCATATTGTTTTTTTGTTTTGTTTTGTTTTTAAAGATTTTATTTATTTATTTGACAGAGAGAGACACAGCGAGAGAGGGAACACAAGCAGGGGGAGTGGGAGAGGGAGAAGCTGACTTCCCACGGAGCAGGGAGCCTGATGTGGGGCTTGATCCCAGGACCCTGGGATCATGACCTGAGCCGAAGGCAGACGCTTAACGACTGAGCCACCCAGGCGCCCCAAGACATCATATTGTTAAAAAAAAACAAAGAACAGTTTTAGATTTACAGGAAAAGATTTGAAGATAGTAGGGGGTCCCCACATATGCCATAGCCAATTTCTCCTTTTATTAGCCTCTTACATTAGTATGGTATTTTTTACAACTAATGAAAGAATTGATATGTCGTTATTAACTAATGTCTATGCTTTACTCATATTCCTTAGTTTTCACCCAATGTTCTTCTTCGGTTCCAGGATGACATCCGGGATGCCAAGTTACATTTAATAATTATGTCTCCTTAAGCCCTCTTGGCTATGACAGTTTCTTAGACTAGCCTTAGTTTTGATAACCTTAACCTCAGTTTCCTCCTTACTTTCCTCCTTACTTCTCCCCCTATTCAAGCAGTATGCAGGGCCAGGAGATTTTGGGAGGCCTGCCAAATTTGGGGATTAAAGGGTGATGTGTGTGCAACTGATCAAGCCCCAATGTAGCCTCTGGAATACAGATGTGGAAATAAGAACTCTGGTACACCCAGGAGTGTAGGAGCACCAAAAACAAACAAACAAACAAACAAAAAAAAACCCCACAAAAACCAAACCAAAAAACACCAAAAAAAACCCAAAACAAAACAAACAAAAAACAAAACAAAAACCAAAAAGGAAAAAAGAAAAAAAAAGGTCAAGAAAGAGGAAAACGTATTGCTGAACGAACGCCATACCCCTGCTATGCCTAGTAACTAGCGTGTAATGAAAGGGTGTCAGAATATCATTTAAATGCCTGGTCGACAGTGACGTCTTTGGGCAACGCTTGCTTGCGAACGGTCTTTCGAGAGCTCTCCGCTCCCTGAGTCTCTGATGCTTCAGCTCGTACCTGTCCTTCTCTAAAGCAGAGAAACAATGCGGGCTGGCTAACTTAAGTCGCTTAGCTTCCCTGCTAGCCCAGTCCAAGGAACTACAATTCCCAGAAGACCGAGTCCAAGGAACTACAATTCCCAGAGGACATGTCTCTTGCTGCATTCTTATTGGCTCATGTTTGTTACTCCCAGCCAATAGAAGTTAAGCTCTTTGATAAGTGCCAAGATGGCGATACCTAGGATCTAGAACTAGCTTGCACGGTAGGCGCAAAACTGGGGAGATGGTGGATGAAAAGGGAATAGGGAGTTACAGTTTCAAGGTTGGGAAAGGTGGAGGAAATGGAGGAAAAAACTGTGGATTTGGGGTGGTAGGGGCTGAGGGACGCAGCCAGAACTAAGGGCGTAATTAGGCAATCGAAATAGGCTTAACCCCTTGCCACCCTCTTCACTCTTTTTATTAAGCCCCTTTGACACCCTTTTCTTAGTGCTCCAGTTGATGCAGGAGGGAGGAACCCGACAGAATCCCTTCCTTATCCTCTTCCCCATTTTTTCTTTCTAATTCCTCTGCCTGCCTTAAATCTTCCTATATCCGTTTCATTCAACTCGGCCCTCCCCTGTTCTTTCCTTCAGAATCCCCTCTCCCCTTCTCTTAGCTCAGTTTCTTCCACCTCAGAGCTGACCGCCACCGGCCCCTTCTCAGAGTGAAATCATGAAGGTAGTGAACTTGAAGCAAGCCATTTTGCAAGCCTGGAAGGAGCGATGGAGTGACTACCAGTGGGCAATCAACATGAAGAAATTCTTTCCCAAAGGAGCCACCTGGGACATTCTCAACCTAGCAGGTCTCAAGTGAAGTAGGAAGGAAGGATGGGAGGGCTAAACCCAGAGAAACTATAACCACTGAGTCTTGCTTTGTTATTCCCCTTGCAGAAGCACTACTGGAGCAGGCCATGATTGGACCTTCCCCCAATCCTCTCATCCTGTCCTACCTGAAGTATGCCATTAGTTCCCAGGTAAACTGCCCCACCTATTCCAGAGAGTGAGGATTTGAAGGTAAAAGACTTGGAGTATAGTTGTCAGCTTACACTTTCTAGGTGAATTTGTTTGAACACAACACTTCTCTGAGCCTAAGTTTTCTTGTGAAAATAATAATACTTCATTGGTTGTGATGAATGTTACATTAACTTATTCTATCAGTAAATATTCGTGAATGTGTCAGATAGTGGTGTAGGTCCTGGGGATATAGCTGTGAGCAAGACCTGATCCCAGCACACAAGGAATTTAGTGGGTGAAAACAGACATGAAAATAAGCAGTCAGTCACAGGATGGGTTTATGATGTAGGTTAAGACAGTACTAGGGGAGTATATGAGAGAGGCACGGAATTCAGTCTGAGCAATCAGGGAAGGCTTTCTGGAGAAGGTGATGTTTAAACCAAGACCTTATGGTTAAATAGGAGTTAGCCAAGCAGATTCGTGAGAGTGTACAAAGCAGAAAGAAAAGCATATGTAAAGGGTGGGAGACAAAAATCACATGTTGTTTAGGAGCTGAAAATAATTTGTATGGCTAGAGCAGTAGTTTTGGTCTCAGGACCCTTTTATGCTCTTAAAAACTATTGAGACTCCCGCAAAGCTTTTGTTTATATGTATTACATCTATCCATATTTACCATTTTAGAAATGAAAACTGAGAATTTAAAAAATATTTGTGAACTTATTTAAAAGTAACAAAAAGTAAAGTCTATTAAATAAAGCCTGTTACATTACATGTTAATATAAATAACATTTTAATGAAAACCATATTTTCCAAAACAGAAAAGCTAGTGAGGAAAGTGGCATTGTTCTACGTTTTTACAAATCTCTTTAATGGTTTAATAGAAGACAGCTGAATTCTCATACCTGCTTCTGCATTCAATTGTTACAGTAGGCTATTTTGGTTGAAGTGTATGAAGAAAATCTGTCCTCACACATCAGATATTTAGTTTGAAAAGGCAGAGAATGTTAATAAGCTTTTCAGATAACTGGATATTCATTGACACACTGAATTTTTTTTAAATATTTTATTTATTTATTTGTTTTTAAAGATTTTATTTATTTATTTGACAGAGAGAGACACAGCGAGAGAGGGAACACAAGCAGGGAGAGTGGGAGAGGGAGAAGCAGGCTTCCCGCGGAGCAGAGAGTCCAACGCGGGGCTCAATCCCAGGACCCTGGGATCATGACCTGAGCTGAAGGCAGACGCTTAACGACTGAGCCACCCAGGCGCCCCTTTATTTATTTATTTAATTGACAGAGAGAGAGACAGCAAGAGAGGGAACACAAGCAGGGGGAGTGGGAGAGGGAGAAGCAGGCTTCCCGCCGAGCAGGGGGCCTGATGCGGGACTCGATCCCAGGACTCTGGGATCATGACCTGAGCTGAAGGCAGTCGCTTAAACGGACTGAGCTACCCAGGCGCTCTGACACACTGAATTCAACAGGTGATGTGAAACCACATCAATGAACTTAAAAAAAATAGTTAATTATTTTTTAAGTAAGCTTTACACGCGACATGGGGCTTGAACTCACAACCCTGAGATCAAGAATCACACATGCTCTATCGACTGAGCCAGCCAGGCTCCCTTCAATGAGCTTCTTATACTCTGTTACGTTAAAATCCATTGGTCTCTGTCTTGCACTTTGAACAGATCTTTTACTCATGCATGATTTTATAATATCATGAATTGGTCATGTGGAAAATATCTGTTACTGAGTTACACAGATATTCCAATTGTTGACACATTTAATTATATGATTCACATGTCATGGAGCCTCTGGGACATTCCACATGCTGTTGTGGGAGAATGAGAGTAGAAAAGGCAAATAACATCTTAGCAGTATTTAAAAAATAGTTTTTATTATTTATTTATTTTTAAATATTTTATTTATTTATTAGAGAATGAGAGAGAGCACATGAGAGGGGTTAGGGTCAGGGGGAGAAGCAGACTCCCTGCCGAGCAGGGCGCCCGATGCGGGACTCGATCCAGGGACTCCAGAATCATGACCTGAGCCTAAGGCAGTCGCTTAACCAACTGAGCCACCCAGGCGCCCTTATTTATTTATTTTAAAAGATTTCATTTGTTTATTTGACAGAGAGGCACACAGTGAGAGAGGGAGCACAAGTAGGGAGTGGGAGAGGGAGAAGCAGGCTTCCCGCTGAGCAGGGAGCCCGATGTGGGGCTCGATCCCAGGATCCTGGGATCATGACCTGAGCCAAAGGAAGACGCTTAATGACTGAGCCACCCAGGTGCCCCTAAAAAATAGTTTTAATCTCACAGTCTCTAGGGGTTCCTGGACCATATTTTGAGAACTGCTGGGCTAGCACTTCAAGAAGGAGACTGGTTTAGAGAGACATAGGGAGGCCTGTGGGTGATAAAGGACCTGCGAGTGATGCTAAAGAGTTTGGACTTTATCCTAGGGTGATGATAATCATTTAAAGAGTTTTAAGTGGAGGAATGGTGTGGTAGGATTTATGTGTGTGTGTGTATAGATATTTAACATGCAATAAAATGCATAGACCTTAAGATGAATTCAGTGAGTTTTAGCAATTGTATATACCTATGTCATTAACGTTCAAAATAAGGTACAGAACATTTCCATTCTCCCAGAAAGTTCTCTTGTGCCCCTTTCTAGGCGTCCTACAATCACTAAATGTTTTCTGTCACTGTAGATTAGTCTTGTCTATATTCGGATTTCATAGAAATGGAATCATATATGGGGCGCCTGGGTGTCTCAGTCGTTAAGAGTCTGCCTTTGGCTCAGGTCATGATCCCAGGTCCTGGGATCGAGCCCCGCATCAGGCTCCCTGCTCGGCAGGAAGGCTGCTTCTCCCTCTCCCACTCCCTGCTTGTGTTCCCTCTCTCGCTGTGTCTCTCTCTGTCAATTAAATAAATAAAATCTTAAAAAAAAAAATGGAATCATATAGCAAACACTCTATACTCTGTCTTCTTTTGTTTAACGTAAATGTTTTTGAGAGGTGCCAAGGTGGCGCAATCGGTTAGGCATCTGACTCTTGGTTTTGGCTCAGGTCGTGGTCTCAGGGTTGTGAGATGGAGCCCGGTGCTGGGCTCTGTGCTCCATGTGGAGTCTCCCTGGGACTCTTCCCTCCCTCTGCTCCTCCCCCTTGTGCTCTCATTCTCTCTCTCTCAAATAAATAAATAGGCCTTTAAAAAAAATAAATGTTTTTGAGATTTATCTCCATGGTTGTTTATGGGATCAGTTCATTCTCTTTTTTATTTTTTAAAGATTTTATTTATTTATTTGACAGAGAGAGAGAGCACAAGCAGGGGGAACGGCAGGCAGAGGGAGAGGGAGAAGCAGGCTCCTTGCTGAGCAAGGAGCCCAACGCGGGGCTTGATCCCAGGACTCCGGGATCATGATCTGAGCCAAAGGCAGACGATTAACCGACTGAGCCACCCAGGCGCCGCAGTTCATTCTCTTTAAACTGCTGAGTAGTATCCCTCAGATGGCATGTAGCTTTTGTACTTCCTTTTTCCTCTTGGCTTATGTCTGCTTTCCATGTGAGCACATATTCATCTACCTGATTCTTTTTAACTGCTGCATAATGTTCCATATGTACTGTAATAGAGGTTTTTAATTTTTTACTGTTATACTCATTGTTTCATTGAACTTTCTTTTAAAAAAAAAAAAAGTATTTGAGAGAGAGAGAGAGCACGAGCAGAGGGAGGGGTAGAGGGAGAAGCAGACTCCCTGCTGAGTGGGGAGCCTGACGTAGGACTCAATCCCAGGACTCTGAGATCATGACCTGAGCCAAAGTCAGACGTTTAACCGACCGAACCACCCAGGAGTCCCTCATTGCACATTCTTATATTTACTTGTCTGCACTTCTGGGAGTGTTTCCCTAGTATAGATACCTAGAAATAGAATTGCTAGTTTAAAGAATTCCCACATATTCAGGGTGCCTGGGTGGCTCAGTCAGTTAAGCATCTGATTTGATTTTGACCCAGGTCATGATCTCAGCGTTGTGAGATCGCGCCCCGAGTAAGGCTCCATGCTGGGCGTGGAGCCTGCTTAAGATTCTCTCTCCCTCTCCCTCTGCCCCTCCCCCCTCCCTCCCTCTCTAAAAAAAATGTAAAGAAAGAAAAAGAATTCCCCCATATTCAGTTGCAGTAGATCCTGCAAATTGCCCTCCGGAAAGGATGGTATTAGTTTATACCCCCTCCATAGTGTTTGACAGTGTTTCCCAACACCTTTCCAATGCTGGATAGAATTTTTTTTTTTTTAAAGATTTTATTTATTTGACAGAGAGAAATAGCGAGAGCAGGAACACAAGCAGGGGGAGTGGGAGAGGGAGAAGCAGGCTTCCTGCTGAGCAGGGAGCCCGATGTGGGGCTTGATCCCAGGACCCTGAGATCATGACCTGAGCCAAAGGCAGACGCTCAATGACTGAGCCACCCATGTGCCCCTCGATAGAATTTTTTTAAATTCCTTTCCAGAAGGCAAAAAATTACATCACATTATAATTTGTATTTCCATAACTGTGATGTTGAGCATTTTTTTGTTTATTGGCTCTCTGTATAACTTCTGGGAATTGCTTACGCATATCATTTGCCCATTTTTCTTTTGTTTTTTTATTGTAAAAGCTTTGTTGAGATATAAATCACATACTATACAATTTACCCACTTAAAGTATGCAGTTTACTGAATTGTAGTATTTTCAAAGTTGTGCAACCACTACCACAGTCAATTGAGAACATTTTCATCACCCCAAGAAAAATTCTTACTGATTTTTAAGTGTCTTAATATAATTGATCTTGTAATCTTTATCTGTTATTTATGTTTGAAATTTTCTATAACTTTTTTTTAACTTTTTGGTTTTCTTTTTTTTCTTTTGTTTTTAAAAATGTTTTATTTATTTATTTGACAGAGAGAGAGAGCACACACAAGCAGGGGGAGCGGCAGAGGGAGAGGGAGAAACAGGCTCGCTGCTAAGCAAGGAGCCTGACTTGGGGCTGGATCCC